TCAATGGTGATATCTGTTAGCGGCTTTACGTTTCGCCGAAAGTGTTATCTTTAGTCAAATAATGTCAAACCAGGAAGACTTCTACGTGAGTTTCATGGCATTTTACACAAACTGAGTTTTGTTCTCTCAAACGGTGGATTTTGAGTTTGATAATATACTAAATAAAGCTGGAGCATCTCTAATTTGCTTAAATAACTTCGTATAGAGCAGGTATATGCGTGCACTCCTGGTCCGTGTCGTAACAACTCACTGAATTTTTCAAACTGAGATTGGGATATTTTATGGTGTCTTTTTTAAATTCTGGTTTAGTGATGATAATATCCGTCATGTTATGATGACGTAGGAACACTTTAATAGTACGATCGTAGAATTGCATATGCCTTGCAACTGCGCAATCCACCTGAATACTTGACGCGAAGTAGTAAAGGCGGACACTGAAATATTCTCAAGCTTTTTTGAAAGCTTTTGATTTTTCGTTTGAATACACTCTGCTTAAAATGAGACTACACAGGAATTTCTCGTGTCCTTTCTGTCATACTTGGATCGCATGAATGCGTGGAGTGTCTTCAGAGTTTACGGATTCAGTAAGCGATTTTGAAAATAAGGGTCTAGCCCAACTGCGTTCAACCTAAAACTGTTACCGGATAGATATTGTAAACTACATGCAGTATTGATCACCGTAAATTGGTATCATGAAATTATAACATCATAAATTATGCCAATATCAAAATGTTCTGCTGACCAATATCACCTACCCGAATTGCGACATTACCATAACGATGGTTGCTGTCACGTGGTGGAGCTTAATTAGATGAGCAAATGGTCCTAAGGGCAAACCTAAGTGCCACTTTATACTCAGCGCAGTTTTTGTTTGTTGGAAAAAGAAAGTATTCAGTGCTCCTCACTGGTACTATTGTGCAATCAATGATTTATGAAAATGAAACCTGGCCGAGTACATTTATGCACAGACACTAATATGATGGTTGACAGCTTCTACCTGCAGGCAAACTCAATAACGGATCTTACGGTGATTGTATTGAATAGTCAGCCTGGCGACATTTGTATCCAATAAAATAACAGATGCTTCCTTCCCCGAAAAAAATGTTCTCATTCAACAACAAAAAGCCCAGATTAGCCATTTGGAATGGTTAAGAGAAAATGTGGCAATTGAAAGAATGCCTAAAATTCATTCTCTGCCAATCTAAATGATTTATTTTAAGACGGCAAAACATTTTATGACATGAAATGAATAAAGAATAACCATAACTCAGCAACCACTCCAACACTGGGAACCTCATCCATATAATTTTCAAGGGAGCTTTGATCATATATTTTAAGGAGGACGACTCGAACGGACCAGGACCAGCCCAGTCTGCATTCGTATACTTCATTTGAGTTTCAGATAACACACATTATCTTTTGAGGTGTGCTTTTGTACGAAGGTCCAGAAGGCATCCTTCTATAGTATAGCGCAGAGATACAAACATGTCGGCACGGTCAATCAGAGATCAATCCGCCAAGGAAATCACAAACATCTTGTCTCAAGTCATGTGACAAGCTTCCCTGATATAACAGTGACGAAGCCAACCTTTCGTCAGTGTTTATCCCCTGTTTCTCGCAACCTGACTTGTGATTGACTCGATTACATCTCACATTTAGCGGGTATTTTCATACATCCTGATTTTATCTGATAACCCACTGTGAAAGAACGAAAACATGCATAGAAGGATAAGTTTTACACACTTCTAAAATCCCCAAATTTAGCAAAACCTACAGGTTTTTTTCTGAGTTTGAGTTTTTTAAATTTCTATTTCTACTTTCTAATTTGGTTAAACTCGAAAGTTTGTTAACAAAAAGACATCAATATCCACAATGTTTCGCAATGTTATACACACTTTCACAATGTTATACACTGAAAGATTGCAGATCACTTCATTTGCTGCTCATGAAATTGATGTCGTTGTCTACTTCGCAGAAACCTGCTACATTTCTACCTAACGTAAAGGCTATAAGAAGTGAAATGAATTGTTCCCACATTTCTGCGCCGTACCTACGCGAAGTGTTGCAATTAAAAATCATCGAACTAGCAATCAAGACCAAATTCGTAGTATAATCTTACCACGGAAAGGCAATAACGATAGCGGTGGTGATTAACAACGACTTGGCGGCCGGCATTTTCCTCGTCTGTTTTCTCGGGTTATCGCGGGTTCAGCTGCGGGCTGCGGTGTCTTTAATCAACATTTGGGCGCAGGGGAAGGAAATGGTTCTATGGGAAGGACAGTCTCTCATCTCAACAGACGGCCTCCCACCAAGGACACAGACTAATTACTAACAGGTGTTTTTCCACGATCCAATTTCGTGAAATTAAATACTTGGCCAAAGAGTTATTTTACGGAAATCACAGTCAGAAAGTAACCAATTCCAGGCTCATCACTACCACCTTCAGTTTAATGGGCAATGTTGAATCATAATAACTGTAAGGATTTCAGAAGCATCTTATTGAGTCATACAATCGATGCGTGATACCAAAGTTAGACTTTTTGTGGTGCACTAGACTACGGATTTTATCGACACTCGACGGATCGGTAAAAAAAGCGCAAGGTATACCTTTGGGCAATTCTTTATCCTCGTATCTCCTTGAATAATCTCTTGACTTAAATCTTAAATATTGAACTAGTTCAAGTCACAGAGATCGAGTCCTGACGAGGTTTCGAAAAGCGAACTTGCCGAAATGGCACACATGAATACGAGATTTCCTCCTGGGCAATTTTTATCTGTGCAGACATCTCTTTTTTTTATCAGAGATCAACTATGAAGGAGTTTGTTAGAAATTCTAGCACATTCAACGGCAAATTCGAATAGCAAATTGGTCAGCCACAATTACCGGGACGACTTTATTTCATTCATGTAAAAAACATGGATTCTGGTTTCCAAACTCTCCAAATCTAGTACATCGACGAGAATATTTCATGAATCGCCTACCTCTAAGAGTTGGGTTGAAATAATCTATAGTAAGATGTGAGACCCCGACATGTTCAGTTATTCTTACTTTTATCTCGCAAATTGAAGATGTATAATAACAAACACCGTGAGATACATTGTTGAGATGCTAATGTCAATACTAAGACACCGAGTCATTAAGACTGCATGTTTTTACCGTTTAAGTTAAGTCTGCCAAGATAAGTCATGTCCACTCTATAGCTCTTTATCACTTTTTGTCAAATACAAGTGTCTCTCAATCAAAGGTGAAATCTCCAACTCATTCCAATGAACTTTTCCAATAATCATATTTAGTAAAGTTTAACACTCTTTGCATTTTTCAACTGCATTAAAGGTACACAGGATCATTTGCTTTTCATGCATTTTGTCGTTTTCCAATAATAGTACCACACAGAATAACCTATTCTGTTGAAGTTTCAGCTCAGTGGATATTACACTTTTCGAGAAAAAAAAAGAAGGGAAAACAAGCATGCACAACTTTGTTTTTAAAACGAAACACGATTTCGTCCATAACACTCTTTATTTCCAACGATTAGTCAACTGCAATGACCGATCGTTAGAAATCACCTGCTCCCTTGATTCATTCTGAAAAAAAATTACAGCAAGCCCAACGGAATATTTTCACGGGGTGTTTAGCACCAGTACGATCTTTGATCCAAATAAACTTTTTGGATAACAATTCGCTAGGTTACTTTTGGGATAAATACAAAATGATCCTTTATGCCCTTTATGTAAAAAGTCCTGACGATTTTTATCACTCCCTGTTATGGGAAAACAAAAATGGACCATTGGAAACCGGTAATTGCTGGGACTCATTTAAGATTAAACACGGAACAAGGTAATGAAGTATTTGTGAATAATATATAGCGATGAGATTGTTGATGTCTTTACTGTAGATTGTGTTGCTTCCATGAGATATTGCTTTTTTACAACTCGAACAAAGACTTCACAACGCGACAAAATACAAACAGTGTTAACAATTCAAAAGGTTGTTTTTGAAATGAGGCACGACAATAAACTCCCATGCGACATTTCTCCTTGCGTTGCATGCTTAAACAACTTGAAGACTAACGCTCCTAAAGCAAGTGCATCATAAGAGGATGCCATTTTAATGATTGCATACCGACATAATGATGTCGATGAAAGTCAAGGCTCAGAATTTTGTTGAAATATATGTAAGGCTTCAATAAGATGAGCGAAAACTCGCCTGAGTAGCAATCGTCTTGTGTCTTTTGTAGTAGAAACAAGCGCGGAAAGAGATAGACTAAAGCCAATGGACACCATTTGCACAATTCAAAAGAATTACAATACCAAAATATTGTGAAATATCCTGCTCGATTGTAAGTAAATAATAGGATCCAGCATCCTTTGAAACCATTGCGCCTAGTATGCTGCTTGTCATTTTCGAGAAAGAACTTATTTACCATCCTTTCCTTGCGATGGTTGAGATTGACATCAAATCATCGCAAAAAAACGGCTTTTTCAAAAAACTACCCGACATTGACCGAATTTAGTTTATGAGTGCAATCGGTTGATACAAATCCATGAATGACAATTATTTATCCCCAGAGACTAATTGTGGATCATACCACAAGAGCGGGCAATTCAAATCATTTTAATGCATATCAATGATATTTGGAAGGGAAGTCTTTCGACGGAAACCTTGCTTTGTGTCGAAAAACATGAAGTCGCATTTTCACAGTTTTGCTTTTAAAAAGAAGGGGGAAAAGTCAGTTGTTTGGCCTAACCTTCTTCGGATTAATTGTATTGTTTTGAATCGGTTAAAAACAACAACATTTCGTTGCTACTGGTGCCCATTACCTTTAAGCTTTTCATCACGAAAGTTCAAATTACCGATTGTTATGTCCTGACGGTGAGAAACTCTGGCTTACAAATTTCCTTAAAACCGACACTGGGATAAAACTTACCTTGACCTGTAAATATCCACTGCAATAGTCCCTGTTCAGAAAGAAAAACACGCACAATGTAAGATATATTACCTCTCACAAATATCCAGTCTTCAAGCATTCACTTGGCGTGACGATATCGGCGCTCGGACTCGTCAACAGACAGTCGTCTCGACAGGTAGGTCTGGAAAGATCTGTCCAAGGAGCATTCAACGAGAGGACAAGCAAGCCAGCTATATAGGATCGTTGTCTGCGACACTGCCCCGAACTCACTCACCTAGCCGTTATAACCATGCGATTTTGCATCATCCTGCACTGACAGAAAACTCTGACCAATAGCTGAGCTCGAAAGCCCGCCTCCTCGTCCAATAGGAGCAAAGGGCGGAGCTTGAATCATCCGAAACCGAAGTCTGATTGGTTAAGGTGTGTGATCAGTATCGATTACTTACTTGTGCGTTGGTGCAGACATTTGTAAATATTTCGCCGGTGACTTGTGGCGCAGTTAGAATTCGTGGTATATATATATTCTTTTATCTGTAGAAGAAATTCCATCGTTATCGCCAAGTTGAAATGAATATTATTTCGATAACAGAAATATTTTGATGAGCATTCCAAAATGCACTTTATTATGCCGATAAGAGATGGGTCATACCGTTTTCGGGTCCCTGTTTTGTTGGGTGTTTTTGCGTGTGTGGTCTGATAAACCGGGTTATGAGAATAACCCAGTAATTGAAAATGAAAAAGACTTGTAAAAAAAAGAAAAAGAAGGCAGGCGTGTTTCAGGGCAGAAACAATCATTTCATCTTGTGCATTTCATTTACGCGTGCAAATGTGTGTTGACTGCTAGATCAGAAAATATTTACTAGGGGCAAAATATAATTAACTGACTACAGGAAATTAAAACTCTTAGATTTTCCCTCGTGAGGGTGAAGAACAGAACAGACAGAGCATCGGGGATAATATTAGCCAAGCTTGCTAGATCAAAGCTTCGACCCGTTTCTCCAGGGAAGGCGGGTTTACTTCTTGTTTGAGAAACTGACATTCAAATCAAGGAATTGTGCAATTGTGAAGGCATCAGTAAACCCAGTTTTTATCGCCATTATTATTCATTTCAAAGACAGTGCCTATTTTATGCTATAGTTGAGGGAGCCCGAAGAAAAGATTTTTTTTTTTAGAATTGGATGAACCCCTGACAAATACCCTAGTGAGAAAAAAACACGGACATTTATGTTTTAATTAAACTTAGTGTGATGGGCGTTGGAGTAAAATTTGACAATGTCTTTTGAATGCTAAACTTTCATGGTAATCCCCAAGATACGGCACCAAAATTTAGAAGAATACATATTGTGTTATCATTTTTAATCGATTTTTTTCCAACAATTTTTTTTCACAGTGAATATGTACCCCTATGTACTGGATTAAGTTGGGATCTACATAATTGTGTAGTGGTTTATCATGGAGGCTAAACACAATTTCCGAAATATACATGAATCAAAGTTGTGATATACCACACTAAGGTCCAATATTTCATGCATGTAGTGTTCATGTTGAGGTAGAAGCATCAGAAGTCAGATTCTGAAACCATGTGTTCTCATGTGTCGTATATTCCGGCTGTTAACAACCCGAATCATTTGGAAGTATTGCATTCGGATTTGTGCACCCAAAATGCAACCACAGACATTTACCGCTGAATTTCATCATTAGATCTGCCCACTTATAGAGTGATTTGTACCCTGCTACCTCAATTTTCTCCATAACGACACCATGAATAATGATGGTGTGATTTGCTTTCATACCGGTTTCAGACATAGATTTTCTCTTCGAGTACTCCCATCAGAGCAAGCAGTTAATGAAAATGTTCCCGCGATCCAAATATGTTTCATTGATGTGGGTAGCTCCCTCGCAATAATGTTGAACATGGTCAGAATCCGTTTCCGTGTCATATTCCCTGACCGATTCGCTCAATTTGAGCAGATGTCAATATTAATAATTGACTACAGGGAGGGTAAACCAGGATGAACGGGCGCGTGATTTGACAACTGACGGTGGGGTGTCGGGGTGTCATGCCCTACTGGGAAATAACCGTTTGTCGGGCGGCCTGCCTGCCTGTCTGTCTGTGAGTTGGGCTGTCTGTCTGGCTGTCTGTAAACGGAGCAAAGCCTTGAAAGTCAGTTGACGTTGGAGATTGTTCATTGTGTACAAAGTTATTTGAAAATAATCAGTCCAAATATTTTCCGATATGAACCGTTGTGGCTCCTGAACAAAATACACCACTTGCGATTCCCATTGGCCAATTTCATTGATTAGCATGTTTCACAATTTCTTGTACACATAATTTGCGTTGAAGTAATCTCTCCACAGACTACCGACTAAAAGCGCAATACATCTGACATAGAGGGACATTGTTTTATGCAAGTGTGTTGGTTGGCTGACAGCTATCTTGTACTGAATGCATGAAATGGTATACAGATTGCGCAATTTTTGAACTTCTACTTAACGAGAGAAAACGGCCACAATTCAATAATATTCTGGATGGGTCGATGCGATGAGTGTTCAAAAAGTACTTCGCGTTCATATCCACGTGTCGTTGATGGATTCTCCTTTAGCCCCAAGTGTTAGTGCTCAGGTGCAGTAGTGGAATGAGATAAATAATGACAACTGAAGATACTCATCATAGCGCGAGACATGGCTTTCATCACTATCAGATTGTCGATGAATAAGGAAAAGAAAGAGCGGGAAAAGTCCAACGACCTTCGAAACAAAATTCATAACAGAAATATTAACATTTGCCCATCGAATAGTGGAGGCCCTCAAACCATTTAAACCTCTTAATACCTTTTTGATGGACATTTTTGTCGAACATTTCTGATGAGCAGATGATGAACATTGTATAAATGTTTTCTTCCCGTGAATCAACGAGCAGCTAGCTTCTCCGAGTTTGTTTCGAATCCAAGCGCTCGTCTAACTATATCAATAAATGCTTCGCTGACAAGTTCAACACGGCTTTCCTGGATGTAAATCAAAGGTTAACCTTCGCGTTCCGGTAGTAGGCGGCATCAAGGACAAAACGCACATTCTTCTTATTTACATTTAGGCCTAATAGAACAAGGTAAAAGGGCTGACATTCACGATGTCTCCTGCCCGACTTTTAGATTATCTGGCTGGAGACATATTGGATATATTCGCACTACGCTTTGCAAATTTCAATTTGGAGATGTCGTTTATTGATGCATGGGGATACTGGGGCAGGGGAAGACATTTTTGTTGGTCTGTAGCTTAAAATAAAATGGCGGATTAGTTTCAGTAAATAAAAGATTTCCCCATTGTCGTAAATAATGCGACTTTTTTTTTTAAAGTCTGGCATTTTTATATTTTAGATGAAATCATAGCAACTATGACGTCATTCGGGATGCTGACAGGCAAAACAATGTCATGTTTTCCCCCTGGGGTTGTAGTTTGTGTCATAACGTTGACATTTGCGTACCACCTATATTTCAATTTATAAACACGCCGAATAGAACAGAGAATTGCTTGTTTTCCGTGGTGAAGGTCGGCGTCACGTCACCCGATTTGCAATTTTTGTAAAGTCTATAATTTAACCCAAGCATGTTTCGAAATTGAAAAGTAACTTTCGTCGATGTGTGGTGCTATGCCAATTACTTAAGCGGTATTTATGTTTGTTAGATTTATAAGCAAAGAGTACTTGCATTCTTTAGATGTAATGTCTAAGGAGCATTTTCTGAAGGACTTTCACAGAAATCAAAACAGGAGTATAGGTGTCCCTCTCGGTGACCATGGGTGCCTGGCCTGCGAAGAGTGACCAACCCTTGACCACATGAAGTGAAAAGCATATGAGTGGATAGGAAAATTGTGCGTGCTTATGCATCCCTTATTAAGAAACCAAATATAATAGCTCCACCTCGATAGGAAAACCGAGACCATGCATGACATGATTATGCGAGGCTGGCTATACCAACCGAACTCAAAATCCCCTTTTTTGGTAATGTTGGACGCACCATTGCTCCATACAAAGAATATATAAAGAGCCTTGACTGATTGTTGGAGATAAATGTAATGTTTGGACTATTTAGTGTGATTTTTGTCAATTTAAAAGTCTGAGCAATAAATTATTTCTGAATTAATTGTAATATTGTATAATTACTGCTGTTTATTACTGAAAATTTGAAAATACAACATGATGTACATCACGATTAAATCACACAAAAATTGCAATAAAAGGATATGGCATATTTCTTGTGTGACATCCCCCCCCCCAAAAAAAAAGGGGGTTCCAAGTGTACCTTTTGAGTTCAAGTGAATATCTGCAATTCGTTATTATTTTAAATGATGAAATTAATATTAAACCTATAAACATGATGTAATTCGTTATCTTAAAATTTTATTAGAAATGTTCCATTGTTCATTAAGAGCATTTTTTAGAGAGGAAATGGGCAGGCATCGCACGAAAAGAAAAGCAGCGTTATTCACCGCTGTTTGCCCCAATTTCATCCCTAATTTCTTTGAGGTAACTGCGTCACTTATCAGTGCAAATCAGGTCAGGCATGGAGGAACATGTGAAACTGCCAAACAGATATATGTATAACGTATTACAGAAACTGAACAGCTTGTGGTCAACCAATGGAAGTGACGTCACCTGAAGGTATCTTACTTCATGGCTGGCAATTATAAATTCTCAAAAAGGAAACTATTACAACAGAACGCATTTCGTTTCCCCAAAGGATTCAATTCCAAGATGAATTCGTTACTTTCTTTTGTTCTATCTTGGCTAAATATCAGGGGAAATGGGTTATCGGTTCAAATGAACAAAAAAGGAGCTTTGTTTTGAATGAACAAACTGACCAAACCCAATGGAGTGCGACTGTAGATAATGAGGATCCCTCCCCCACGCCTAAGGCACCTTACATATTGCATTCTAATTACGCCACTAACCCATCAGCAACCTCTGTCCATAATGAGCTGTATTAGATGTAAAGAAATCACGAGAACGTCTGGTCGAATGGCTGAAGAAGACAAGGGCAGGAAGATGAAGGTAAATAAAACAAAATACATATTTATATTAGCTTTTGTGGGCAGTGGTAGTTAAATGGTCAAAATAATTACGGAGATGTAAACCAAAGACATACGGAGATGTAAACCAAAGACATATCAGCATGGCATGGCAGCTGCCATATGCGTCAAGAGTCGGTAGGATTTCACGCGGTGACGTCACGTGTCCTACGCCCATTGCATGTCCACGCGTTTGGAGGGGGA